TTAAAGGATGAGCAGTTGCAAAAGATTGCAAAAGACTGCCCTGGAGGCTACTTGGCGAAGGAGGATTGCGTTTGGAAGCCATTCAGCGTTGATCTGCTGATGGCTCAGCTTGCTATCGTGCCGCGAGCTTGTGGTGTTCCCATGCTCACTGAATCGGAAGTGCCAACCTCAGGCATTTGCCAGGCCCTTTGCTTGTACCAAGCTTATGGTCATTCTGTCATACTAAAACGCATATGCTGTAATATTCACCGGGGGTGGAGGCCCTCTCTCCTGATTTTTTTACATTGATGGTTGCATTGATTTACATAGTCGAAGAATCAGTTGTCTCTAGGTTTCGACTTTTGTCGACTCAGGCGCGGGTAACACTCGAGGAGTCAAGCTTTCGAGTTGTTACGCCCACGAGAAGTCACCATAAAAAAACATACTTTCTATCATAGCTTTCAACCACAAGCCGAATCCCGGGGAACCCTGGGCCCTTACAGCTTTCAAGAGAAGCCTACGGCGTCAACTCTGGAGTCTCCCTCCTGAGCCCATGAGTCCAAGGCCCCCCAAAGTGGCTGAATTGAACGCCCCACTCCCCAGACCAGGGTAATCCTTAAACTCCGTGGCCCTTGCAAGAAGGATCCAATACTGTTAGGCCCCACTGTTGGTTCGGGGCTCCCTTCATGTCAAGAGTTCCCACCTCATGAGGCTGCAGAAGTGCTGCAACCTGGAGGCTTGGGTTTGAACGGTTTCGAGGCGTTTCGCTTTGAGCGGGAGTACTTCTTCTTCTGGTAGGAGTATGGTTCTTGGGGTGTTGCGCATTAGTACTCCTGTAGGTGGAATCAGTATCATGGACATCGTGGGTTTTTGGCTGCAGTTGTACCTTGTTTCGATTGCCTTAGCCGTGTCGCGATGCTGAAAGGTTTGGGGGTATCGGGAGGGTTTGCGTGTGGTCTTTTGTTGTTCGGGGCGTTTGTCTGCTTTGGAGCCTTTCAAGCCGCTCCTCAATGTAGGAAGCAGGCATTCTCATGAATCGAAATTACAGTGCAGAATCGTAGTAGAATGCAACCCATAGTAAGGTGCGGATCATAGTGCTCGTCCGCCTCGCCTCCTCACCATCATCGCCATCATCATCATCACCATCATCATCATCACTATCACCATCGACATCATCATCATCATCATCATAATCATCATCGTCATCGTCATCGTCATCGTCGTCAGCATCATCATATTATCATCACCAGCAGCATTGCACATCATTACAGGAGCAATGCAATTGTGCTCTACTTGACAGGAATGTACAGAAGCCCACGCCAGAGTCCGTGAGAAATGCCGTGGGTAGCCACAACAGCTCGAGACAGTTTTGTCTTTCGCGTTCGCAGTACTGAGTGCTGATCAGCACCTTCAAATCCCGTGAGTTGTTGCAGTCGCGCCACGGAACAAGCAATTCGTGCACCCACGTTGTTTCAGACGATTCCCTGACACAGAAAGCTCGAAACGGTATCAGCTCGTGGTGAAGGCCTGAAGCCCATTGTGAACCATAAGTCTGCCCCACTTCTGTGATTGAAGCATGAAGGAGCTTAATTTTCGCGCGAACTCACAGGTCCTCCTGGAGCATTACAGCCGATTTGGGATGGGAGTCAGGCACGACTCTTCTGTGTTCTATCTTGCTATTGACTTATGGTTTATGACAGGATCGACACTGCAGGGCTCCTCGTGACTAGGGTTGGATTTTCCAATCGAATGGAATTCGGAGCCGTTGTTTGGCGACTACCTCTTGACACTGAGCCTGGGCCAGGGCATGTCGATACCAGTTTTTCGAGGATTGTCTGGGGGCACGCGCATTGTCAACAACTCAGTGAACCTCGCTCCTGTTGCTGGGCAGGGTATGTAGATTCATGCAACAAACCTTTCAAGTGCTCGACAACGTGCACTTCGCTGCTGCTACTCACGCTGGCCTTTTGTCTTAGATTGTTGCGTCCTTGAGCTGATGCTCATGATGCGCGCCCTTCGCTGCTCTTGTAGTTGCTGTTTCGCCGATGCTCATGACGCTGGCCTTGTGCTTGTGATCGTTGAAACGTTCAGCAGCTGATGCTGATGATGCTCGCCTTTGGCTGCTGTTCCTGAAGATACTGGGAAGCTGATGCTCATGATGCGCGCCCTTCGCTGCTCCTGTAGTTGCTGCTTCGCTGAGCTCGTGATCTTCGAAAGGCTCAGCAGCTGATGCTGATGATGCTTTTGCTTGTTCAACTGATGAGCAGCTGAGTGTGACTTTGGATCTTCTTCCTCATGATGAGTATCAGCGAAACAGCTATTACACCAGCACCGAGGAGCAAGCATCATGAGCATCAGCTTCCCAGCATCTTAAGGAACAACAGCCAAGGGCGAGCATCATCAGCATTAGCCGCTGAATGTTTCAACGATCACGTGCAGAGCGCCAGCATCATGAGCATCAGCGAAACAGCAACTACAGAAGCACCGACGAGAGAGCATCATGAGCATCAGCTGCCCAGCATCTGGAGGAACAACACGTAGAGGCGAGCATCATCAGCACCAGCCGCTGAACGTTTCAACAATCAAAGGCAGGTGCCCGCCCGCATGATGAGCTTTAGAGAAATGGCATGTGATCGTCGAAACGCCGGGCAGCAGATCTGATGGAGCGCACCATGACACCAAGATGCCCATATGCTGGCCTCTCGTCGCTCTTCAAGGCGCGTTGCGCAATCAATGTTGACGAGGTTCGCCATTCGGTGGCGTTCTTTAAGATGCAGATTCTCTAATGCTCATGATGCTTTGCCTTCATCGTTGCCCCGTGGTGCCGGCGCCTTGACATGCTGTTTCACTGACTCTCGTGATTCCTGGTGGTCAGCCGCTGCTGCTGTTTTGCTCCCGGTGTGTGGCGAAACGCGGGGCAGGTGCCGTTCGCGATGATTTCATGATGTTGTTCGCGTGGCAGTGCTCGTTGACAAACTGGGAAGAGCCGATGATGTGCGCTGTCGCAGCTTGATGGCCGAACTATACCGAACAGCCTTTGCTGATGCTCATGATTCACACCTATCTGTGGCACTCACGAATGATGTCGCTTTTCGCTGGGACAAGCACGGGCCAGCTCCTGATATGGTAGTGCTCCACTGCTTCTGATGCTAGCGCTGCTGAGGCTGAGCACAGGAAGCCAAGAAGGATACTGACGTGGAATGCAGGATGGAGAATGTTGCCGACTGATGGGCTGCGCAGAACCAGCCTTTGTCATCCAACGTCGCCACAAACCAAATCGGAAAAAGATTGAGTTCACAATGCTGGCGGTTTAATCTCCTGATCTTTTCATCGCAGGCAAGCTCTCACCTCCTGGGTCTTGGCTGCTTGGCTGTGACACCACGAGGGCATTGGTTCAAGGGTTTTCGCACGTACTTTGCAATTTGTACAAGTTTGCGATGCCTGGCAATCCGGTGGCTTCAGTCTCGTGGGACAGCTCCAAACGGATGCATCAAAGACTCGAGTTAGACTCCAGTTACGTTTCTTAATGGGCACTCGATTAATTAGTTGCAAACACAGGCATGGCGTCTTAGCCGTTCAGTGCTCGTCACCAAGGAGAAGCCCGAGCATTCCGCCACACATTTGTGTGAGGCTCTTCTCCAGGCCATCGACTGTCCCCTGGTGGATTTAAGGGTTTTACGGCATGCAGGGTGTGGAAAGCAGGCAGAGGCATTCGATTGGTCTGTGCCACATAGTCAGCGATTAGCTTCCCAAGTTGCTCGTCGGATATCTCCCATCCTCCCCGCGTCGTCACAGCACTCAGGCTCGCGAGCAGCTCGGAATGCAGCAAGAGACCTTTTGCGGCGTGTCCGGTGTGAGGATCCTTCCTCTTAGGTTCATCCGTTTCGACCAGAGCGCATGGCTGGCAAAGCACCTCGGTGAATTCATGTTTAGGGTCCCTTGGACCTCGTGCAAGCGAAGAAGAAGCTCTTGAGAGTCAAGAAGTAGTGCTTCAGAGGCAAGCATGCCAGAAATTACATGTAGAGGCCTCAGAGCCTCCTTTGAGCAGCATCAACATGATAAGCAGTCGAGCTGCCCTTCACGGTACACACACACACACACGCTTTCGAACTCCTTGTCTCCCTCCCTCCCTTCCCTTCGCCCCGTTGTCTTGCTGTTTCTCTCTCTCTCTCTCTCTCGCTCCCCTCCTTCTGGATTCTGGGTCTACTTCACCCCGAACTTCGGCCGAAGGTGCCCATCCATGCGCAGACAGCAGCCTCCCAGCTCTTTCCTGCGGCCAAGAAGGTCGTGGAGGAGCCTATTTTGCTTGGGGGCTCCTTATTAAGGATGCAGTATAACATACCCCAAAGCCCTATTATGATTCTTATAAGGCCCCTACCTGTAGTCTCCATTGTAGTTCCTTTTTTTGGTTAAACCAAGTTTATGTTTAGGATCCTATAAGGGAACCCCAAAAAGGAACTACAATGGAGACTACAGGTATATGAGCTGTTTCAGTTAGGGCCCCAAAAAGGAGGTGCAGGAGCTCGGGCCTGGACGGGCCCCAAGCTGAAGGAATCCGTGTCTCTGGGGCTAAGCCCTGAAGCCGAAGCTTTTTGAGACAAAGCTACGAAGAACTAGGGTTTAGGGCTTAGGGGTCAGGTTTAGGGTCTCAGCGGTTTAGGGTTTAGGGTTTAGTGGTTCAGGGTTTATGGTTCAGTGGGCATGGAATGGCAGCAAGACCAGGCGAAAGTGAACGCAGCCAATAGACAGGCAATATCTAAGGAGGACACCGAGCATTGCGCAAGGCACGATAAGTAAGACACGGTCGGGACAGCCCACAAGTAGTAAAGTAGTACAAGCATCGATCCCTACTAGGGTTTGAGTGCGTGGCTTGGGGTTGGAGCTTGCTGCTTCTGGGAACACACTCCCAGCTTCGGATGTTTGCGCAAATCTTGGCAGCCTCTATGCAGATGGTGTACATAGACGAACGATTGTAGTAGGTGAGAATTCTCAAACTGGTCCGCGACAGAGTACTCCCCCAGGAGCTGGTGAAGCTCTGCGTTGGGGAGGTGGATCCGATTGGTGGTTTCGTGTCTGGCCTTCTTTGAGAACACTCACAACAGCCTCCTAATCCCGAATTTCATCGGATGCTCAGCCAGTTTGGACCGCTGAGGTGAGATTCCAACCAAAAATCGGCGGAAACAAGCGCCGCCCGCTTGCAACCAGATCCAAATCGAGTGCTCAATGAGACAAATCCTCAACAGGTTGCCTGTCGTATCTTGCCAGTTTGTTTTCTGCTCGTGGCTGCCAGAGGCAGTGCTTAAGTGAGTCGCTGCTGTTAACAACCATGATTTTGTTTCGAGTGGTTTGGGTCATCTTAAACGCCCCAAGAACCATGAAGTCTTGAGACATCTGGAGACTCCCTAGGCCCGGAGACCACAGTGTTCAACCATTTCGTCCAGCACCGCATGATCGTCATTCCTGGCTTTGATGTGCAGTGCAGGACTGCCCGGTTTATCCTTTAGTGAGGCATCGGGGTTCGTTTTCGGGCCTTCAGACCCCAGGGCCGAAGATGGTTTGGGTTTGGGG